ATCTATCTATCTATCTATCTATCTATCTATCTATCTATCTATCTATCCATCCCTCTCTCTCTCTCTCTCTCTCTCTCTCTCTCTCTCTCTCTCTCTCTCTCTATCTATCTATCTATCTATCTTTGGCACCAACGAAGAAGGTCTTCTGCAGAGAGCGAGCTAGCTTGGAAGACAAGTGAGAACATGTAAGAACTTCAAGATGAAGGAGAAGGATTCTAGCAAGGAAAAGAATAATTTCTTAAGTGGCTTTTGACCTGCTTGGTTGATTCAGTTGGAAGCCAGTTAGAACAGGAGATGCTACACAAGGGACCCGTCTGCTGCAAAAGGCTGTTTGTTAGCCTAATTTTAGGAGATAATGGCAATCTTTAAAGCCGGGTCATGTAGGTGTGGAGTCTTGTATTTCAAAGACTTCCTCCCATGCAAATGTGATCCTTAAAACAGTTACTGCTGCATTTGGACTAGTGTTGGCAAACCTTCTAATTATCATTCTGGTCTTTCTGGTTTTTTTTTTTTTTTTGCTCTCTGGAGGATTTCTTTCTTTTTTTTCTTGAGAAACGGGGAAGTTCTTTGAAGAGGAGAGAAGAAATGTGCATAACAGCTCAACTCAAATGGAATAAATCATCTGAAAGTGTCTATGAGGACCTCAGAACCTGAAAAACATCTTGATTTCTTTGCTAGGATACTGTTTCTGAAAGGTATTTCTAAAGAACCACAACGGGGGTGGGGCGGGGGGGATGACGACTGAGGTTGGAGTGAAGGCTCTTTCGTTTATGGAGAGGTGATTTTCGGTTATTTCGTTTTGTGGCCGCTCTTAGGATTTCCTGCTTTGCTTAATTGAGCACTGATTATGGATTTGCCTCTGGCTGCAAGAGTCATGGGTTTACAAGGACGTTTTTCAAAGGACGGCCATAAGAGGCATTAGAACAGTTTCAGAAATACAATAATTTGCATTAATACAATAATTTGCATTAAGCAGTTGCCTAGCTTGCACATTGATCTGTCCCAAGTGCAGATATGTTAGACTTCAATTCTCACAGGCCTGCACTATCTTTATGCTGGTCTTCAGATCGCTGGACCTGCCCTCGATGTCAATCATCCGGGCAGAGAAGTGCTCGCATCCAGTTGCATCGCCGTCTATTTAAAACACAGCTGGTGGAATCAAACCCTCTTTTGCTCCATTCGTGCCTATAAAAGTCAGGCACTGTTTACAAGTCCCCAGGGGCTTCTCAGGATTGCTAACTCATAATTTCTAGATATAGATTCACACGTTAAGACCGGGACTCAAACACAACAGCTTCGGGGCACACATGAAGAAGAGGTATCGATTTGCAGCTGGCCTGAGTCAGCATTCTGCAAACCGATGGCCCCCCGCCCTCGAACGCTGAGCTTCTGCTAAAAATAAAAGGAGATTTTACTCTTCTGGTCAAGGAGGAAGATGGCTTGTGCGAAGTGACTCTGTCCTTCAGGAGCCCTTGAGCACTTCAGAACGGTTTCACAAATCATGGTTCCTGGTTTTGAGCAGAGCTCAACATAAGAAAGGACCTGCAAAGTGCAGAGATGAGAAGACGGAAAGGAAAGAGGCTGTCCTTTGCATTTCATACTATTTTTTTTTTTTCGCTTTTAAAAGGATTGTTTATATTCCACCCTTCTGATGCTGGTCTAATTGACCACAGGGCAAGATTTCATCGATGGGCCTGCGCACATCAAACTGTAGAATCAAAATGCAATCGCTCTGTTGGCTGGTGAGGTCCGTTCTGTTTTTATCCTTTTTTTGTGTGTGGAGGAAAAATACAGTAGCCCTGAAGTCGCCAAGGGATGCCCAAACTTTTCACGTCGAGTCTTGCAGCAGCTGTCTGGTGGAGATTCCTCAAATTCCAGGCCGGCAGTGCAAAGGCCTCCCCCTTTCCTGCCGCTGTGGGTCTCGCTCGTCTCTGCCCCATAAGAAGCAACATCAGCAGATCTTCCACAGCTAGTGAAGCAGAAGCTGAGGTCAACAACGGTCATGTGGGCAGGATGTGGCTGAAATACAGCAGTGGATTTTGGAGCTCCGGGCGGTCACATTTTGGAATAATCTTCTTTTGTTGTGAAGCCCAGGCCAATAACACTACGGCATTCCATCTTTTCTTTTGCTTTTCTTTTTCCCTACATTTGAACTGGAAGGGGAGAAAAACCGGGGTTGAAGGAGTCTTCTAAATCAAGAATTCTCCACACTTGACCACTTTTAAGACTTTGTGGACTTCAACTCCCAGAATCCCTCAGCCAGCACAAGGGATTCTGGGAGCTGGAGTCCACCGGCCTGACAGTTGCCCGGTTTGGAGACCCCTCCTCTTCAATCCTTCTGTAGAACAATTCGGAGAAGGAGGGGGTCCCCATAGGTACCCCAAGAAATGCTTCCTTTTTCAAAGGGAACTTCTCTTTCTTCCTCTTTCTTATTTTTGGTGTTTTCCATTTGCCTCTTAACACTTTTCAAAATGCTTCCCCTGGGTCCAAAAGTTCACAGATCTTCCACTTCTGTATTCTGCTAGAGGGCTTTTCTCACTTTCTACGCATGGATTTCTAAATCCGTATTGATATCCTCTCGCTTAAGTCACCCCTCCTTTGAAATCCATAGTCTGGAATCAGGAGTGGAAAGAGAGAGAGGGAGGAAGAAAAAAAATACTGAAATAATTTTTAGGGTTCCCTTTGAGCTGGTGAGTTAGTTCTGCCTTGAATCAAGAGCTGTCCTTGAGCCAATGCTTTCAAGAAAGTAAATGTTTTTTGGGTTGGCCAAAGACATTCTCTTTCTTCTTCTTCCCAATCTAAAAGGACCTTATTATAAATTGGAAACCTCTTAGATTTTGTTTTTGTTATATTCCAGAAACCAGGACATATTCTTCCACTTTGGCAGCTAATCAAGATTTCTATTGGACTATAAAACCATCCAATATTTTGGGTGTCTTTGCATCGTTCCAAGATCTTCAAGGGTTCTTTACGATTCCCTGGTGATTTGGGATCCTGTCCCTACAGTGTTAGGAACCAGGATTTGCACACACACGCCCTACTTGCAATTAAAATTTACCCCTCGATACTTGAAGAGCAAAAAATGATTATTGGAAGAGCAGTTTTAGCTGGTCTCCAAAAAAAGACCTTCTCTAGTATCGACCCTCTTTCTAATAAGCAAGCAAATCATCACGGCCGTACCTTTTCGATAGAGCCCGGCAGAAGTCGGAGGAGGAGTTTGCAAAGGACGACCCCGTCCTTCAGGGAGGCCTTGAGGAATTGCACGGGGTCCTCCACCATCATTTTGGGGGAGTTTAAAGCCCCCATAGAAATCAACCAAGTCACCGTTTGCTCCTCTGGATTCATGACTGAAAGCTTGTTCTGTTCTAAAAGCTTTTGTGTGCAACGGTGAAGCCAAACCCACATCCGTGGCTGCATCTTCCTGCTTCTTCTGAGGTGGGTGAACGAGCAGTTAAAAGAAGTTCCCCTATTACCCTCCACCTATAAAGAGGACAAACCAGTTGAATACTTTAAAAAAAAACAAAAAACCACCACTAGCCAGAAAGCACCATCTTGAATTGGCTTGGACTGGAGGAACAAGTTGCATTTACAGTGCAAATACTTATGCAAATACTTCTGCAGAAGAACAAAACAGAACATTCCCCCAAACCACCATCACAAAGGAATGTGGTTGCATTTAACCATGGACTTTAACTCCCAGAATTCCCCCAGCCAGCCAGCCTGCTTGAAGATGGATAGACTTCCAACTCCCAGAATTTCCTAAAGTCGAGAAAGCACCGCCTGCAGAGTTTGCAAGGAAGAGTAAAAAATATATCCAATTCTGTGATGGCTGAGCTGATAGGAAGTGTGAGAAAAATGGTGTAGGGTCTATCTGGGTGGGGGGTTGGACTAGATGACCTACTAGGTGCCTTCCAACTCTGTATCTGGTAGGTAAAAATTTCAGTGGAAAATAAAGAATCTAACCAGCGGTGGGAAAAAATGTAGCTTAGTTTAAATCTTGGTAATTTTTCTACTTGCAGGGAGTTTTAAATGCATGGAAGACTTTTACTGAGCTGTAAACCTCAGAAACCTCTGAAAGATGCACTTTTAAAAAGGGATTTACTTTTTAATGGATTTATCCACTATTTTAGTTGACATCCTTCAATGCTAGACGATACAAGTTGTGGCAATATAATCCAGGACTGACTAGGATTCAGCAAGAATCTGTTAAGGCATCAATCCGCACAATGCCCACGTAAATCAGATCAAGATTAAATATTTTAAAAGGTTTACATCTTTAAATAAAAGATATGAACACTCTTTCAGTGTCATGAAAAGCCCTCCTCCACATTGGCTGCTGTTTTGTACTTAAAACAATCACAATCACGTAATTTAAAAAAAAAAAAGGGAATGCAGAGAGATCATGGATACTGCTGGAGGTTCACACTTCTTCATCCAAAAGTGGCATCTTGGGACCTTTTTCGTCTTACTTTCTGGGAGTCGTGCTCAATTTCTTTTTTGGAGGGTTGAGGTTTGCAAGGGAGGCAACTGCAGGGCTTTTGAATTGTTGGTGGGCGTTTTTGCCTTTTGCAAAAAAAAAAAAAAGGGTGGGTGGGTAGGAGGGCAACCCCCCCCCCCTTTTATACTCGCCCTCCTTCGGGTCTTGAAACTGCCATTTGAGCCAAACAGCAGCTCTACTGAAGCTTCAGGTTGTCTATTTCTGGCTTTGTGGTTTTGTGCTCGGCTGCCACACCTCCTCTTGAGCTCGTGAGTTGCACCAGATGGTGCAGAGCATGGCAAGAACTGAAAATTGGGCAGGGCTTGAAACTCTACAAATTTCACTTTCAATAAAGTGTTGGGTTTTTTTTTTTTAAAAAAGCACTTTGAATACCCCTTTCCCTCTGTGCAAATGCTGTTAACTCAAAAGGGTGGCGTAAGGTAAGAGCCAGGGGGATCCCCCAGCATAGGATGTGTGAATAAAGGAGACCCCAAGCCATTTCATGGAGAATGACTGCACCTTTCCCCTTTTCCTGGGCACGCTGGCCGACTGGCTGAGCAAGGCACGTCCCTTTCACACACATATTTGCGGGCCACAGAGCAGCACCAATTCCCCCCAGCGCCTGAGCCCGACACAATGTCCCTTCCCGTTGGCTTAGGTCTCCCTCTACCGACAATTGTTTTGCACACTCCACAAAAGCCGTGTTTTTTGCATTTTTGCTGCAAGTTCACCCCTTTAAAATGGAACAATGGCTTTTCCTTAACATGTTGGAAGGTTTTTCTGCGCCTGTCGATTCTTCAAGGCAAAAGATTGTGATCAAGTTCACCAATGCAGTTCTTTTTGGGGGTGGGTGGGTGGTGGCCCCAAAATGCAAAGGGCCGAAACCTAGACCCAGGAGCCCTAGGACCAACACTGCCCTAAAGTGACAACACAGTTCCTTCATGTCTTGAAGAACCTTTTCCTGGACCGTCTTCCCCCTCTGCCCCCACCATCTTTTGTGCATTTTGACTACTTTGCAATTGGCCAGAGATAATGCACAGTATCTTTCTCTGCCTGCTTTTTTTTTTTTTTGCTCTCTCCCCCAAATCTGTTTAACTGGATTATCTCCACCCTGAAGTATGGGCAGGTACATCGTTGGGTTAGACCGTTCTTGTCCACCCCATGAGCTCTTATTAGACTGTTTAAAAGCAAAAGAAGGAAGTGTCCACAGTGGTTTCTATCTCCCTCAGTAGAAAAAGCTTAAGTTATATCCTTTTGGGCAACCCATTCAAACCCTGTGTTCAAAAACACCGTAAAAGCTTGCCAGAAAAGCTGGTTATCTAATCAGTAATATCGAACCCAATAAAATATTAGAGTAGCCTTTGGCCACTCCTGCGCTGGACTTGGGTTGGAAAGTGGAACTGTCACCACAGACCGTTTGGGAGTAATGAAGAACTCAGGAGGAAATCAACACTTTATTAAGTTTAGTGAATACAAGGATCCCAAGCTTCAGATGTTGCGCCTCTTCCACGATGCGTCACGTTTTCACTTGACCAAAACGCTTTACCTGTTTCTTCAACTTATGGCACTAGCTCCTTTTCACTACCCCCTTTCATGAAAAGGGAATCGGCAAACTTTATGCCGTCTCATTCGTAGGAGATTTTCCTAAACCATTTTATAGATGGCTGTGACAATTCTTGTGGAATCAAATCTCTGTGCAATTCCTGGCTATAAACGTCATGCTGAACATGAGGATTTAAGAGGAGTTCTTCTTCTTAGGGAGAAGCTCAAGTCTCGCAAGTGGCCACATTTTGAACATCACCTCCTGCAGTGCAGAGTCTTATCTCTGGCAGTTATTAAAGAGAGAAAGACGCACTGCTCAAAGCCCCCCAATTCTACCTCCTGACTCCCCCCCGCCCTTAAACCACAAGCCACGGCGTTTGCTGGGTGTCTGCCTGCCTGCCAGGATTTCAATCACATTTGTTAAGAGGACAGAAATAATTTCCACCTGACATTTAAGACTCTTTCTCTCACATAGGACCCTTGTCTGCAGTTGCAACAGACAATGGCATTTAGGAAAGGGCTTTCCTGAAAATTGCCTTCTTTAAACTTTACATCCATCATTTTGAGTCTGCTTCTTTCTTGACAGGCCTCCACACAATTCTGTACCTAGAATATAAATGAGCATTAGGAGACTGTCAGAACAGAAAGGCTGTCAAAACAATGGCTAGTATAAACGATCTAGTGCAGTTGCCAAAACGAAACAACCGCATAGCACAAAAAGAACCATTTCAGGATCTTTACCTTGTTGTACACTTAAACATACCTGGCTGCTTGCAGTTTCTGAACAAGCTGCCATAAATGACCACAACTGCTCTCTTGTAACACCTTCCCAAGTGACGGATCATCTCTTATGAAACGCTGAGCCTCAACGATAAACAGCTTTCAGCAAAAGCTTAAGAGCTGCTTACCCCTTGTTAAGGTCAATGGAATATTAGTCCATGAGCACATTAGTTCTCCAGCTGTTTATATCTCCAAAATTAAAAAAAAAGTGATTTAAGAATGGCACACCAAGTAGAAGGTACACAAAAACTAGGTGAGCCATAATGTCCACTGGGAGAAAAACAAGGTAGTTCCAAGTGCTATTTTGGAAGCTTTCTACCGAATATGCTTTATCCTGTTTCAATATGTAACCTTTTTTCTAGATGACTTTAATAGGTCACACATCGGCACTTTAACCATATTGGGATACAATATTTTTGACTTTAGTAACGAACGTATTCGTTCCCTCTTGCTTGCAAAAGCAACGTTCTCAGGAAATGGGATACGTTATCAGTCTGTTCAAAGTGAACTGGAGAACTAAAAAAAGTCACCTAATTCCACAAACCAGCAGCGATGGGGCGGGGAGCTTGTCCTACTTCAAGCCTTTATTTGCGAGGTATCTGAAACGAGCCCCTTTAAGGCCTCCCTTACCTCCAAGCTTACCTGCTGCTCTGATGCAGCTCACAAACGTGGTGTTCCTTCCAACACACGGGCTGCTTCTTTCTGGGTCTCATCTTAAACGGAACGAGCGCTCAGCCTGCAACAATTACGGACGGTGTAAAAGATCCCGGCGGGCCCAACCGCCCAAACCCACGACCACCCCAGAAAACAGAAACGAAACAAAACAAAACAAACCCCCAACAACCTGGGCTCGCCGATTAGTCTGTCACGATCTAAGCATTTTTACACATTTGAGGTGCGTGGAAGGTTCATTGGACTGGAATGAACTGGAATGGCTTAGTGAAAAAGTCGCATGGCTTTATGGATTCTGATTTTCTTTCCAATGGTGCTTTTTCATGGCAAGTCCATTTGACTGGTAAATATGCTCGGAAGGTTTAGAGGAGGAACTTTAGTTGGAGGTCTTCAGGTCTTACTACATTTCAACAGCATCTTTTGAACTTCCCGGCCGCACCTGGGTCATGACAACTCGGCCCAGGTACCAAAACTCCCAAACAAAAGACTATACAGTATAAAGAAAAGAAGTCAGGCATCCAACTAAACATCAAGTTCGTAATCATGGCTTGCTTGACATTTCCCAGCTGTTAACACAGATTTTGGCAATTTAAGCCAAGTTCTGATTGCATTATGGTTTTACATTTCTTAAAATTAAAAAAAAAAGTTGCTTTTTAATATATATACATATATATATATAAGTATCTTCATTGAAACATACTGGCCAAAAAAAGCAACAGTCCCCCCCAACCCCTTATGGGGACTTGTTTACAAGCTGCTTTCTTAGCATCATTTTCAAAAGCTTTTGTGCCATACATATTTTCATCCAAGACAAGGTTATGATGAATTTAGAAGGCTTCGCCTAAGGCTTCCCAGCACAGGTATTTACTTTTTTTTTTTTTTCCATTTGGCGCTTTCTTTAAAAAGCTAGAAAAACTTCCATTGCCATGATGCACAGCATGTCCTACTGTACTAAAAAGGACGATAGCTTTTTGGTTTCACGTTTTGACTTAGACCGAAAAACTAGTTTTTGCTTTGCTTACCATCTTTTGCTGTTTCACGGGCATTTGATGCTTTAAAGCTGTTGTTGTGGGATGCTGAAAGTTTTCACTTGTTTATATGAAGCCATAAGCTTTTCAGAGGTTGGTGAGAAAGACTTCTTTGCTTATCTTACTTTTCTCCATTTTGCCTTTGGAGTCAAAGATGTTCCTTTAAAAATGAGACACTACAGGATTGCAAAAATTTGAAACAGTAAGAGCAAGTACGTTCTGCAGCTTCTTGGGTGGAATGGGCCAAACCTCTCTTTTTTTTTAATTTACAGAACTCTGCAGCTCGCTTGCTGCAGGTTTAATACATTACTGAGGGGGGTGAGGTTCTTGCAAATTGCCTAAGGAAATGCGTAGAGTGGCACAATGTACATTCAGCTTTATCCATTGGTGGTTTTGACTTAAAAAGGCTGAATGGTGTCCTGAATTTTACACAGGACCGAAGGTAGGTCATTATTTGGGAGCATCTTTGCATTTCAGAGGACACTTTTAATAGTTTAGGGGTTGGCATCCATCCCCACCCCCCCTTCCAACAAATCACATGTCTTGCCTAGAGAGAAGGCATGCTTGCATGAGCAGAACGATCCATGGCCATTTTAGATGCATGGGGTGCCTTCGGCTGGCCGTTGCATTGATGAAGTGAAAAGTGTGGTATTTCAGGGTTAACGTTTACTTTGAAAAGGTTACAACACTAGTACATAGGCTCAAAATGGCATACATTAACATCTGCTTTTTGAGAGAAATTATTAACAATTTTGAAATGAAATTAAACATTGTTTTTACTCTTTCCTCACAAAAAACATCAGTAATGAAGGGGAACTTAACAAGCAACAATTAAAAAAAAAAGTTAAAAACATCGTGTTGATAGTCCTCTGGGTGGGAACGAGATAAAACTTCCACATTCCTTGTGTTGGGGGGGGGAGGAGGAAAAAAAACTTGATTTGGTCCATGAGTTTCAAAGGTTTTTTTAGTATCTGCTTCGGCCTCCACCTCTATCCGAGCGGCTCCCTCCCCGGCCGCCACCTCGGGGTGCTCCGCGGCTCGAGCTGCTGTAAGAATCGCGGGGCGGAGGGTAGCCCCGTTCCATAGACGGGGGAAGGCCTCTGTCTTGTCTGCCCACATGGTCTCGGCCACTTGAGTAGACATCGCTTCTGCTGCTTGAGTAACTCTCTCGACTTCCACCATACCCATCACGGGTGCTTCCGTAATCGTCATAGCGACTGCTTCCACCATATGATGGAGGGGGCCCGCGTGCAGGGGGAGCACTACGTGAGTTACCTGCAGGTTCAATGGTCAGGTAATAGGGCAACACTATAAATCACATCACCACAATTTTACATCTGAGTTTTTAAAAGAAATGCATCAATGGCTTCTCTGACTTTTTATTTTTTTTGATTTTTAAACTGAGGAGGAGGAGCTTAAATATAACCTCACAATATATTTGGTGGGGGAAGGATCGGGCAGAGAAGGAAACAAAACAGGCTGTTTGAAGATGCTGTTTTTTTTTTTTCACAAAGTAGCTCTTTTTTTTGGGATTATTCCAGAACTGCTTGCTATTTTTTATAGAAGAAACTCAGCCATTGTTTTTCCAGTGAGAGAGAGATGCAATTCAGAATTGTTGAACTTTGCTTCGATAGGTTAAGGGAACTGCAATTCAATCGTTTTGTTAAAATAAAAACATTCCCCCCACCCCCCCACCCCCATTGCAGCAGAAAAACCCATCATGTTAACAATCCCCCTAAGGAGCAGCACTCTAGCCAGTCACGGAAGAAGCCTAGTGAGACACTCCTGAGAAGCCCTCAAAGTCAGCACTTACCGTAGCTCTCATAGGAATCTCTGTAAGAGCCTCCACTGGGATGGTCCGAGTAATCCCGGTCACGCCCTCCGTAGCCATCCCGATCGCTGTAGGAGGAATAACTACTAGGGTTTAGTACCGGAAGCCCACCGTGATAGAAAACACCTCCCCTTATTCTTGCTTTTGTCGATTTGCTTTTTTTCCTCTGCCTTTCTAGACCGTCACATTTTCTCCACCTCTTCTCTAGGAAGCATGAAGAGCAACCGCTAAAGCATTGAGGCTTATACCCCTCCCCACAGTGCCTGATAAGACTCTCTGGGCAGTTTACAGTATAAAGGCACTAGTGGCTGACATCGGAAGCATGGTAAGTCTGAGCCAACCCTGAGGCCCACTAGGATCAAACTCTAGGCTGTGGGCAGAGTTTGCCTGCAATACTGCAGGTTTAACTCACTGTACATCTGTACATGCTAAGTTATGTGTACGGTCTGCACTCCCAGGTCTTTACGAGGGTATCAAAGCCAAGTCTGCCATCAATATTTAATTCAAAAAAATTACACATTGCCTTAGTTACTCCCAGACTTGCAATGGCAATTTGATTGGAATGACCATCATCACCAACAAATGAGGCGGTCTTAAATTCTGACACCCCCACACACACACTTAAGTGTTGGCAATCCGTACCATCAATGATTTGGTTATGTCAACTGCCTTTATTAATCAAACCCCAGGTTTGTTAGGTGAGGTCAAAGGCCATGATCGTGAGAGTCTGGAGCTCCAACACCATCTCTGTAAGCAATTGTCCAGGGCTATTTTAACTTCAAAAGGACAAAGGGCCACAGGCAGAGGACTACTGGTAACCACACCCAGTCCCTCCTCGTTAATAGATGAGAAGATGGCTTAAGGAATTGGCTTATTTGGGGATTTTCAAATTTCTAGAGATCCTTATTGACAGCCAACGATGTTCCTAAATAAATATGAACACTATGGAACACGGAGAGACTAACAATGGAACTCTAGGTACCTGTAACCTCTTGAGGGATACTCATCCCGTGAGCTGGAGTGTCCATAATCACGATAGGTATAATCCCTTGGTGGTGGGGCATAATCTCTGGTGTCTCTGGAACTTGGATAATCTCGGCTTGAATAACTACAGAAATCAAGATGAAGTTACTTTTTGATTACTGGCAAGCAAAATAGCAAAGTCCGAGGACATCTGCTTGAAGATATTAACATATCAGATATTAACAAAACAAGGTATTGTTCTACCTGTCCTTAGTACTGTAGCCATCATCTCTAGGGGATAAGTAGACATCTCTTCGTGATGGCAAGGAGTCTCTTCGCGGAGGCCCCCCATAGCTGTCTCTGCCACGTGACAGGGGCGCTAAAAATTTAAAAACAAAAAGAAACCCAAATTGAGTTGGAAACAAGGCAATCAGAAGGCATTCGTCCCCATTTTGAGTGGGGGAAATGTTATACTGCGCTGTTTGTTTTTAAATGAAGGCTAAAGTCTATGCACAATTATACAAATTCACAGGAAGAACCACGTATTAAGCACAACCTCATCGCAACTAGCGCAAGAACATTTGGAAGGCAGCAAAGGTTGATATGTTACCCATAAAGATTTTAGTTGGAAACTGAGCATTAAAGACACATTTACATGGTGGCGGCAGCATCCTGCAAGGCTTAGAAGAGCAGAATTGTATTTTATACAGATTTGTTATTGTGTGGTGCATCCAATGCCTGGAGAGTAAAGAACCCTCACAAATAGCACTAAGAATTTAAAAGCCCCAAATTTTGCAATGTGCCACAGCAACAGCCCCCTCAAGTTAAGACTTTATGAGCAAACTACAGCATTTATACAAGGCTTACCTCTACCACCCATCCCGCTACTGCTGCGTACAGGTCCAGATGGTGTGGGTCTTTTGGGTGGTGGTCCCCCGCTACGGGGAGGTGGGCCCCTTTTCATTGGGAGAGGGCCTCTAGAGGAACCTAGAAGACAGAACATGACAACTTCAGAAGCATCATCACGATGCTGAGAGGCACCAGAAGTGAAAAGGGGTCAAGAACAAACATGCTCAGAGGGATCGCCTTCCTCACGAGAAACATCCGTGACTGTCAACCTTGGATCAAGGCCGTTAAAAAGAAACCCCATTTGGAGAAATAGGCTCATTTTCTGGGCTGTATTTTTTTTAGACAATTACCGGGACAGTAAAAACAGGCTTATCTAATAGGTCTTTTCCAAGTTGACAATCCATCATTGGTGGATAGCAAGCTCTAGCCTCAGGTGTGAATGTGAAGCTACTAAGAAATTATAAGAGCCATCGCACACTCATGTACCAAATCTAGGTTTGCACAACCTGAATTAGACTCCAATTGGCTTGTGATTTGTGGTTCAGCCCGTGTGTGCACATCTGTATGACACGATTTATGCACAAACCTCTTTTAAATGTGATGGCCGGGGCCATTAACAAGTTACAGAAAAGCAGTAAGCAGCTAAAACTGGTAACATCCACCCATCTTGGAGCTGTAGTCTTTCAATTATCAAGAACTCTTCGTTCTTGTTGTAAACTCAAAGCACAGGTTAGAATGCAGTTCAGCGGACATTCAATCATGTTTCACCTGCCAATCAGGTACTTCCAAGGAAGCTCACAAGCATATTTAGGATGATAGCTCTCCTACAGGTTGCCCCGGCTGTTGTTTTTTAAAGCTTGTTTACAGTTTAGATAAGCTGTGAGAGATTGCAAATAGCCATCCAGACAAGGAGCTACCCATAGCCCGATCAGCATCCGCTTAAATATCAAGAAACATGCTCCTCGACAAACAATGGCTAACGTTCCAGTTTGTTTCTGATTAAAAAAATACTTGTTGATTATCAATATTAAACGGACTTTTGCATATTAAGAATAGAATTCTTTATTGGCCAAGTGTGATTGGATACACAAGGAACTTGTCTTTAGTGCATATGCTCTGAGTGTACATAAAGGGATTTATAGTATGGTGCCTTGTAGATATTTACTCTGGATCTGCTTTTGAAATACAAGGTCAGGCAAGCCAGATTTTAAAGACCACCAATCTCATCTAAGAACAAGAGCACATTGACACCCCAAAGCACTACTTGGACTGTGTGACCTTTTTTTTTTTTTGCATTTAGAAGTGTAATAATTAGTGCTCACAGTACTTTATTTACCTTCTGTCCAGCTATTTTCCTTCTTTCCATTCAACTTCTCTACGTCTTCTGTGCTGTCAATACACAGGAACTTAAACATACCTAAGTGACTGCCTCTTGAAGGTGGCCCCCGGGTTCCACTGCTGCCTCTTCCACCTCTAAGGCCTCTTGGGGGTCCTCTGCTCCTTGGGAGGGGCCCACGTCTACCAGTTTCAAAGGTTGGCTTGGTAGCTTGTTCAACTTTAATGGATTTTCCATCTAAAGACTGAACAAAGGCATCTAATTCAATCTTTGTGAATAACTCCTGCCTTTAGGCTTATTACAGTGTTTAGACTTTGAGAGTATTATCAGCATCCGATCCCAGCTGGTTAGTGCACACGGGAACTCAGAATGCTAATTGATTGCTGGCAATTTTATTTATAATTTGTCAAACAAAAATGAAATCACAAATAATATAAAAATAACAGGGACAACAGGCACATTAGTGCACTTATGCGCACCCCTTTATAGACCTCTTAAATATGAAGTGAGGTCCACAGAAGTCAATTTGTGACTAAAACTGAAAATTTGTAGCTGAGACAACTGAATCATGTAGAGCGTTCCAGACAACTCTTATTACAAAAATTGTATCTTTACAGTCAAGTTAGAATGACTTGTATTGAATTTAAAACGGTTGTTTGTGCACGTATTATTGCGATTAAAACAGAGAAAGTCATTTACAGGTAAAACATTACTACAATTTTGTATGCAATACCTAAGTCCGACCCTAAGCGAACTATATTTGCATTAAACCAGAGAATATTAAGTAGGACTTGCAAATACGTTACTACAGTGTTTTAAGTCATCTGTCTTTTTAACTTCAAATTGCAATACTAATATTTTGGAAGTAAACACGTGGCTGTCTTGTGATACAGGACATGTTTTCCTCTCATCTTTTGAGGAGCATCCAACAAACATTTGGCATATATCTGGCACTTTTTTAATGATACTGTTACCACTGGAAAAACATCCTCATATACTAGGTTCCCCCCACCTTTAAGGGATGCTGGAAAGCAACCTTTGCTATCCAATTTGAAAGACACCAGATTTTCTTAAAGTCTCTCTTAGAACAAGGGTCAAACTCGCAGCCAGCGGGCCATGCACACCCCTGGTTTAGCGGAGGGGGAAAAAGTTGTGATGTCACGTGACAACATTGTGTCATCATGAGTTTGGCACCTCTGTCTTAGAAAATCAACAGTCACAATCCTTTGAAACTATTTCAATTCTCTCCTTTTGAGTTTTACCACAATAAACAACAGACACTCTTACCTTTCCATTCATATCTCTTGCTGCATCCTTAGCATCTGCTGGGCTTTCAAATGTGACAAAAGCAAAACCTCTGGATTTGTTGGTTTCACGATCTTTCATAAGGAGAACTGAGAGAGAAACAAGCATTATTTTGTTTGCTGATCTCACAGGGGGAGATCACCCAGGATTCACATAAGCCTGCTCAGAACTTCTTAGAGGATAGGTAAGTTCTATCATTTCAGATGATCAAAAAAGCTGAGTTCATCACAGCAGGACTGAAAACCCCGCCAAGAGGCCTTGCCCTTACCTTCTACAATACGGCCATATTTGCCAAAGACAGATTCAAGAGCTTTCTCGTTCGTTTCAATGTTCAATCCACCAACGAACAGCTTCCCAGGCCGATCTGCTTCAACCATTTTGACAGGTTTTGGAATCTAGAACAAAACAACCAACCTTTAGAAACCATAAAAATATAGTCACATCCAACTGCAATATGACCTTTTGGATTTCCTGCATATAAAAGATATTGTTGATAAACATTCCATTTTCATTACTAGTCAATTACTTCATTCCTACTGTTGCATGACATGCTGTTTATAGAAAGTAACTCCTGAAGTGGCCCAACCTCTTGCTATAATAAAGAAAAAAACAAACCAATATGACATGGTAAAAGTTCCTTCTAGTTTAAGCATGAACCAAAAATGACAATTAACAAACCACATTTTCTCATAACAGTCCTTTTAAGCCTCACACCAGAATTGTTTTTCTTCAAGTCTCAATCCCTTTTGCAAATATTACTCAATTGCGCTACACGAATACAATGAAATGAATTTAATTTCTAACAGTCTGTCCAGACCAATCCCTCCAGATTGATTCATTTAGAAACACCTCACCCCTTTGAAGTTACTAATATATTTCTGGAGGACAATCCTATTGAATGAAAGCTGCATTCAATTCTATTTTTAATAGTTCCCTAAACAGTCCTCACTATTTACTTGTTTCAAAAGAATAAATCGTTCATTTTAACAAAAAAAAACCCCTAATAAAAGCATCTGGACTGCTGAAGGCACAAAACCACATCGGCCAGTCCATTCTGCAAGGGTTTTATTCCAAAATATAAATGGACAGTTTTAAGTTCAAAGGAAAGAGGTATAAAAAGGTAAAACTCGCAAGTTGAGGAACCTGAGTAAATTTCCAAGAAATTCAGTTTTCGAATTTGATCGGAAAGAAAATAACGATACATTTTTAAATGTTCAGTTTCACTGACGTTTCATATTTAATGAATAATAATTAGTAATAAAACACCCAACCTTTAAGAAAAGGAGGAAAAGCAATTCCCACGTTCGGTTTTAGCAACAAAAAACCCGGAGCCTCTTCGTGCAAACCGCGCATGTGCGCCGGGCGAACGGAACGCGCGGAGCGCATGCGTCCTCGGAAAAAACCGCCTCCCCGAAAGAGCGGCGCGTGCGCACTCCCGTCCGCCCTTCCCCCCACGTCCCACGCGCCTTGAAGAAGGGGGCGGGGGCGCACGAAGCATCGAGGCCACTCTTAAAAGCAGCCGCAAAATGGCGGCTCCTGCGACCCTCCGAGCAGCCCGTGTTTTGGGGGGGGGGGGGGGAAGAAACAGCACTTCCCGACACCCACTTAACTTCCGAAGCTTTAAAATGGCGCCTCAGCCACCCCCTGAGGAGAAGCGGGAAGGGTGAAAACCGTTGAGGGGGTGTGTGGACGGAAAACGAAATAAATAAGGGCCTTGTGGGTCCGCTAAACGGCGTACGTGCGTGAGACAAAAAAAGTATACGTATGATATGAAAAAGGCCTCATTAAAAAATAAAAATAAAAAAGGAAAACTCCCTCATCCGCTACCACGCATCCTTACCTCCTTCCCGCCGGCCTGCAACGACGCACTGAAGAGGAACAAAGGGGCTGAGGGCCTTTATATACGTGACGTCAGCGCGTTCGAACGGAGCTGAGAAGCCCGGATGAAAGCATGGCGAAAGGGAGGAGGCGTGGCCAGGGTTTGGGAGAGAAGAAATGGGTAACGGCGGGTGTGGGTGGCTGCGCAGGCGCGAGTTCCTCCTTCGATTAAGGTCGTGCATATATATGAATGGATGCCTTGGTTGAATTTGGAATAAAATTATAGGAAATAAATAAATACACCTTGGAGACGGTAGATTTGTTGATTGCATTTCAGCCTGGGATGCTTTCGTTCAAGATTTGCCCACATTCTTCTCTGTGGTCCTCTAGAACAGTGGCCCCCAACCTATTTTGTGCCACGGCCCGGTACCGGCATCACAAAATGATCTGCGGCCCAGTACCGGCATCAGCACGCATGACAAGGCAAGGCGAGCTGAGCGACCAGCCAGCCGGCCGTCCCCCGCTTCTCCTTGCCACCTTCAACTCCTCCTCTGTACCTTTGTCGATGGGCTTTGCTTCGGGACGGCTTCGGGACGGTTGCTCGGCTCGCCTTGCCTTGGGTGTTGAAAGAATCCTCGCGCCTTAGTTTCGTTCGAAGCCGCCCCCTTCGATGAAACTAAGGCGTGAGGATTCCTTCAGGACTCAAACGCCGCTTTCCAACCGGAAAAGCTCACCCGGAAGCACTTTCTCGTCAAACAAGATGGCGGCACCCAGCAAACCGGCGGCCCGGTAGGAAATGTTCCACGGACCGGTACCGGTACACGGACCGGTGGTTGGGGACCCCTGCTCTAGAAGCATGGAACTCTGCAATAAATTAAAAAGCATGGATGTGTAGATTATGTATGTATGTATACATATATACCATTCAGGGGCTCCTTGGCTTAATGACCACAACTCTGACCAGAAAATTAGTTGTGTGGTCATTGAGGCATCATGTGACAGCATCCAATTATATGAACCTTTTTTTGTTGTAGTTGCTAAACGAGACCTCATGTGACCATGATCTGTGACCTTCAGTGCCAGCTTTCCCATTGATTTTGCTTGTTCAAAGCTGAGCTAGAACTCCCAGCCTCCTGATGATTGGCCCAGAGTCACCCAGCTGGTTTTCAATACCCAAGGCAGGACAAGAACTCCCAGCCTCCTGGTGACTGGCCTACAGTCACCCAGCTAGGTTTCATGGCTAAGGCCGGACTAGAACTCCCAGTCTCTCCTGGTTTCCAGCCTGGTGTCTTTACTACTAGACCAAACTGGCTCTCTGTACAGCCTTTTTGTATCACCGAAGCTGGAAAATGCGCACAAGATTTAGAATTGGACATTTTCCCCAATATAAATTTTTTTTCCTGATCTTGCTGCCCATCTGTTATCTGAAGCACATCACTGAAAGGTCCCATTGCTGGATTGGGGCCAAACCAGCCATTGACCCTTTTTTTGCTCAACAGCCAAAAATAGAATAAAGTTTGTTAGGGGCTCTGGGCCAGGTGAATCTAGCAGATGATGGTTTATTCTGCAGATAGCACATTTTCAATGATTTAAAATTTGCTTTTCATTTCTTGCACTGTTTTAAGTGTGGATTTCAACTTCCAGAATTCCCCAGCCAGTGTGAGGAACAATAGAATAGAATTCTTTATTGGCCAACGGTGATTGGACACACAAGGAATTTGTCTTGGTGCAAATGCTCTCAGTGGACATAAAAGAATAGATACATTGGTCAAGAGTCAAGAATCCTAAGGTACAACACTTAATTATAGTCATAGGGTACAATAAGCAATCAAATCATCCTAGGAAACAGTCCATATAAATTGTAAGGACACAAGCGACAAAGTTACAGTCATACAATCACAAGTGGGAGGGGAGGGGCGATAAGGAGTGAGGAGAAGATTAATACTGTAGTAACAGTAGTGCAGACTTTGTAAATAGTTTGGCAGTGTTGAGGGAATTATTTATTTTGCTTTTTTTGGTTTGTTTTTGTTATTTTTGTGCCCTTAGTTTTGGTTCCTTCATCAGCTGCTGAAGAATCCTAGAGGTGAGATGGGCCGATATATATACGTCTGCTAAATAAAATTAGTGCAGCATGCCATGCCTTGATGCACGGGGAAAGGAATGGGGTTGGCTCACTTCTTCCCACCCACCCCCATCAAGGTACAGGTTGCCCTTTGATGTCTTCCGAAGTTGTGGTGCTCCATCTCCAGAGGCTCATAAGAAGAAGACACTGGACAACCATTTGTCTAAAAAGGTACAGGGTCTCCTGCTGGAGTAGGGGGTTGGACTATGAGACCTCCAGGGCCCCTTCCAAGTCTATTATTCTATACGCCTGTGGAGATTCTCCGTCCTCCAGGTCATGGTTGCCCCACAGATGCTTTTTCCAGAGGCAACTGGAACTTTCTGGTTTTTCAAAGTAAAGGTTCGTCCTCCGAGCTTGTGGGTTGGTTTCCAAACGTTTCGTTTCCAGGCTAAGTGACAGCTTCAAACTCTGCTGAAGGTGTCACCTAGCCCGATAACGAAATGTTAGGAAACCAACCCACGAGCTCAGAGGACGAACCTTTACCCTCATCCTACATCTGAACTACAGATATTTGCCACTATAGCATTTCTGTTTTTTCGTTCTGTTCTGCTCTATTCTATTCATTTATTGAATTTATATTTATTAATCTATTCTATTCTACATTCTATTCTATATTCTATTCTACTCTATATTCTATTCTACTCTATTCTAATTCTATTCCTATTCTATTCTTTCCTATTCCTATTCTATTCATTTATTGAATTTATTCATCTATTTTATTCTATGATCTATATTGTATATTGTATATTCTATTGTTCAAAGACGTTTCGCTTCCCATCCACGAAGCTCCTCCTTCTTAGAGGAGATACTATTTATTATTCTATCCTACCCACCTGCCGGGATGCAGGGACTGCTGCCCTTAGCCAAAATGGTGCCGCCGGCACCGCTCGCCCTGGGCCGAGCGCCGACCCGCCGAATCTGAACGGGCCTCCGAGGCTGCCCTGACCCAAGATGGCGGTGCCGCGCTCGGGTCACGTGGGAAGCTGAGGCGAAGCGCTCCACCCAGGCCTGGCCGCGCTTCCTCAGTGCGAGGCCGCTGCTCCCGCCGCTCCTGCCGGGCGATTGTGACGCCGTCGCCGCTCTTGGAGCCCCTCTCGACCCGCGGAGAGAGAGCCCTTTCGTTTGCCGCGAGCCAGGAAACGCCATGATGGGGAGGCCGCGGCCTAACGGCCTCTCCGTCCCGCTGCTACTGCTACTAATGGTTTTGGGAGGCCGCGCAGGCCTCGGCGCCGCCTTCTACCTGCCCGGCTTGGCGCCCGTCAGCTTCTGCGAGCCCTCGGACGCCAAGCAGGAGGGCTCCGCCGGCTGTTCGGTGGGACGCCGGGCGGGATGGAGTGGGGTGGGATGGTGGTGGTGGGGACACCGGAGTATCCACCCGAGGAGCCGGGACTACACCTCCCAGCATCCTCTGCGCGGCCCTGGGAGTTGTGGTTCCCTGGGTGGGGGAGCGGGGGGGGGGGGGAGGTGTGTGTTTGTGTAGGGGGTCTGTGTGTATTTACACGATACCCTTCCTCGTGGGAGAACACGTGTCTCGCATTCATACGAGTCTCCTAGCCACCCAGGTGAAGTAGGGGTGGTGGTGAGGAGGAAATTAATGTGCTTTAATTTATAATTTTTTATTTATTATATTCTTTTACTATTTTTCATTTTTATATGGTGTTTTTATACCCGTGTAAGCCACCTTGAGTCGCCCATGGGCAAATAGGGAGCAATATAAATTTTCCCCCCAAAATACATTAAATAAATTCTAGATCTAATTAGTCTAATTAGCTAATTAGGCTGGTCTCTTTGGAGGGGTAGTTGTTGTGTCCCCAGGAAGCCACCAGTTTGCACAAATCGGGGGGATCAACCTGTATAATGCCACCCCTGTTTTGAACCCTGAATTTTGTGCAAGTTGTAACAAATCCTGCTTTTTTTTTCCTTGGGAGGGGGCAGGGGTTGGACTAGATGATCTACAAGGTCCCTTCCAATTATGTTAATTTGTTAAAATCCCTTTTTCCCCTCATTGCTGGTGAGCAAGTTCAGTATTCATCTTGGTATTCAAGAAAAGTGTGTTGCCAGCTATTTAAAACAATGTCTCTTTTTAATCCTAGCCCAATATTGAGCTGTTTGTAAACAGGCTGGACTCTGTTGAATCTGTTTTACCATATGAATACGATGCGTAAGTATACCTTTTATCCAGAAAGGAGCTGGGTACGGCTTTTCCAGCTGAGAGAGAAGAGATGAAGGAATACACTCCTAAGCAGGATAATTCTCTTTCTTTCTTGTGCAGTTTTGATTTTTGCAAAGACCAAACAGAAGAAAGACCGTCAGAAAACCTGGGACAAGTTCTGTTTGGCGAGAGAATAGCCTCTTCCCCCTATAAGGTGATCACAGACTTCCAAATGCTTTGAAGAAGCTTTGTTTTGTGAGATTCTTCGGTGACTCGCTTGTTCCCCCTTTTGACAAAAGCTTCGCGGAAATCATTTGGGGACACAGATGCTGAATGGCCGTTAGGAGGACACATTTACACAGAACATAAAGGACTATTTAGAAATTGCAGGCCAGCTCGGTTTCTTTCTTGAATAGAGCTGACTCTGGTCAGCTGAAAAGAATTTCCAGAGGCAGGCTAGAAAGAGGATATAATCATTGCAGAATCATTATTGCTCCTATGTAAGTTTCCCAAGGGCATATTGCTGGCAGCTGCTGCTACCCCTGGAAATAAAACTCTCATTGATAAATTTGTGGGGCAGAGGGAAAATGATAGGGGCTTAAATTTCCTTTTAATTCATTTGTGATTAGTTGATTTTATGAGGACAAGAAGCTTGCTTTTTATTTGTCTCCTGGATGATGCCAACTTATTTGCCAGTACCCTTCTAAGTAATATATTTTGAGTGTAGGAAAGAGAGAGAGGGAGAGGAAGAGGAAATGAGCACTGAGCAGAAAATGAAATCCTGGGGAATTTTTAGATAAGGAAGTATTAAAGAACGCATTTTAATCTTTGGCTGGACAAAATGATTATTTCAACAACACAATCTTGAACGAGTGCCCAGCTGAATCGTTTTAATGGTACGGATCAAAACATTTACACCTCTTTTGTCTTTATGCCAGTTTACATTTAAAAAAGATGAAGAGTGCAAGAAAGTTTGCATGAAATCTTACGACCCACAGAATCCCGAAGACAGAAACAAACTGGATTTTTTGAAGAAAGGAATGCAGCTGAATTACCAGCATCACTGGTGAGGAGAAAATGTTCTCTAAAACTCACTGATCTGTGTAGGGAAGAATTAAGTGTTGTCCAGCCGTGTTTTAAAAATAGAAAGATGAAGACCATGGAAGAAGCGGTGTTAGTCTACTCGTTAAAAGTGCAAATGCTTGAAGACTATTTTAAAAGCCTATAAATGCCATGCTGTTTATAATTATAGAATTATACATATGTTTTTCTTATTCAGGATTATAGATAACATGCCGGTGACTTGGTGCTACAATGTGGAAGACAGCCTTAAATACTGTAATCCTGGATTTCCAGTTGGGTGTTACATTGCATCAGATGGCCGGATAAAAGATTTCTGTATGATGAGTGTAAGTGTTCAAGGGTATATTTCTCCCAAATTGATTTGAAGAACAATCAGAAACGGGTGTAAGCAGTGGCTTCATGCATGGTTTTGGCTTAGAATATTAGTCATCCTAGCAAACTCTAGTTTATTCAGTAGTTGTAATGAAAGTCTGTAGCAGGACTGTCCAACCTTGGCAACTTTTAAGACCTGTGGATTTCAACTCCCAGAATTCCCCAGCCAACCATGCCATCTGAACTAGCAACCTGTGTGGTTCACAGTTCCTCCTAGGATTAGCAGATGCCCAAGGTGCTGCTGCTGATGCCACAATACGAGTGTGGTATGTTAGCCAGATGTTTACCAAGATCCCATGTCGGGGACTGAAATTTATATGCATGATGGCTGGGGGATTCTGGGAGTTGAAGTTTACGCATCTTAAAAGGATGAAGGTTGAGAAACACGGCCCAAGGTTGAATTCATTTCAGGAAACAATCTTTCAACAATGGGTGTTTTGGAAATATTGGGCAGGTTTTAAAACAAGATATTTACAAATTGCGTGGGGAAGGAAGGCATACCATGTTCAAAATGGATTTTTGTTCAGTTTTTTCCCCCCACAGTAAATGCGTACAGATACATGCACGAATGAGCTATTTCAAGCTCATATCAGCCCCAAACACTGTTCTGTCCATCTTTGTTTCATCCAATTCTTTGTTCTTTGGGAATGGGCTCCCTCTGGAAAACTGGTTGGAAATTTATTTAATCCTTAGTGTTTGCAAATCAACAAATTTTTAGGGTATCAGGGTCCATTCCTTTGCTTATGACATAAATTTGGTGTGGCTAACTGGCTCTGACTGTTGCCATCTCCCCCCTCCAATTTCATGGTGTCATAATATCTTTCAGGATGAATTCAACAAGAAGAACACCTTCTACCTCTTCAATCATGTAGACATTACAATCACCTACCACAGTGGCAAAGACGAGAACTGGCCTGGAGCACGGTTAGTGGCAGCTCAGCTGGAGCCCAAAAGGTAAATAGCAAGAGCATTTAGACTTATATATCGATTCGCATTGCTTTATGGCATTCGCTGGGCGGTTTACAAAGTCAGCCTATTTGCCCCCAAACAATCTGGCTCCTCATTTGACCGACCTTGGAAGGATGGGAGGCTGAGTCTGCCTTTGAGAGGATGAGACTCGAACTGGCAGCCGCCAGTCAACAGAACTAGCCTGCAGTACTGCATTCTAAACACTGGGCCCCCGTGGTAAACTGCTCATTTGCTAATTCTAGTAGGTATTACATTCAAGGCACTAAATAACTAAGTAGCTATAAGTGATGATTATCCCTTATAGCTTTTATGTATATTGAGAGCTTATGTACCGAAGACAAATTCCTTGTATGTCCAGTCACACTTGGCCAATAAGCCTGTTCTATTCCTATTCTATTCTATTCTAATTCTAATTCTAATTCTATTCTAATTCTAATTCTAATTCTAATTCTAATTCTAATTCTAATTCTATTCTAATTCTAATTCTAATTCTTATTCTATTCTATTCTAATTCTAATCTGTTCTAATACTCTATTTTCTAATTCTTATGTTTCTAATTCTAATTCTGTTCGAATTCTATTTTCTAATTCTAATTAATGTTAATTCTAATGTTCTAAATTCTAATTCTATTAATAGCATTCCTTCTACTAAACTGGCAACCCTCCAGATTCTCTGTGTGTGTGTGTGTCTGTGTGTTGCGGGCTGGGCATCAACTTCTGCTGATTGACCGGAAGCCCTTTAAAGGTGGCAAGTGAAACCGATCAGCGTTCCTGACCTTAACCGGTGACCCTTGAAGTCTGGATAATATAGAGATCCTGATTTGCTGGATTCATTTATCTAGTCAATTTATTGAGCTGCCCTGGGCAGGAACTAAGTCGGGCAGCAGCGCACAATTGGCCTTTGTGTGTGTGGTTGTGCGCTCCACAAGAGGGCGGAGTAGGCATGGCCAAGTCCTTTGAACGGCTTTCCTGCTGCCGTTCGACTCATCTCTGGTTCCTTTGCTGGATGAGGAGGAGGAGGGCATCTAATTGATTCTTCGTCCTCACATGTTTACTAACTCCTATTTTTCCTGTCCCCCCCCCCCTCCATCAAAAAACAAATAATATTCCAGAGTCTGAAGGTACTACAAGAGTATAAATAATCTGAAATGATGTGAAAATTGGGAGGGGGGAATGCTTACTGTTATAATTGCTTTTTGGGGTTTGGGGGGGTGGGCCCAGAAATGCTTGTGCAGAATCGTGTTTAATAATGGAAAGAGAAGGTGGTGCATTATTGTGGTTGTTGAGTTTGACTTCCACTGCAAAAGTTTCATAAAAAAAACTTGCCTTCGGAAGTCGTGGGTGCTTCATCCCTGGAGGCTCTCAAGAAGAAACGGGACAGCCACTTGTCAGAAATGGTATAGCG